ATAAATGCAAGCAGATTTTAAAATGTTAGGATTATGGCAATAAAGTCCAAGCCATCTAGCACCCAGGGAAAGACCAACTTCCTTGAATAGCTAATGGGCACCTACTGTAATATCAGGTGGTGGTTGTTAATTATTTTTCCCCAAACTATTTGCATGAAAGCCCATGTAATGGCATCATATCTAAGGATGTCCTTCCTCAATGACTCTGTAATAATCACAGTAATTGCTAACAACCAACAAGGGTGACTCTCCTATTGAACACAGAATAACATAGCAATAATGTGTTATTTATTAACCCATCAATTTTACAATGAGGAAATTGAGGCACAGAAGATAATTTCAGTCATTTGTGTAAGAGTTCAGATTGGGCAAGGGTGGATCTGGTCCAGAGCATTGCTCATACCCACCACACTGGACAGCGTTCGTGGTGGTCATCCTGGGAGCCCAGGGGCTGCTATGAGGATATGAGCCCTCTCACCTGCATGACCCCCAAGGCCTGTGGCCCTGGCCATTTTCAACTGAAAAATCCCATGATCCAGTTCTCTTAGAAAGAAATTATTATTTTTAAGAAGAGCCAATAAGTTCCACGCTTGGGAGGGGCTGCAGAGTTCACCTAGGAGTCACAGCCAGTGGACAATACTCTCAGATGCATAGGATATCCATTTGGGATGCTTGAAGATATTTTTGACAGAGAACATAATCCGCAGTTCAACAGAGCAGAGAGTCCTATGCTAACTGCACTTTCATTCAATGTTCCTCTCATCGAATAGAGCTTCTTATGAATGTTCACACTGCACAATCAGAAACCTCAAGTGGCTGAAAAGATTTGGGGTTTGCCAATAAGCGGCCACAGTCGACCCCAGTATAAGCCCCTCCCCAACTCAGAGGCCTCTTTCCTTGAGGTCCTCTGCCCACGTCTCAGGCTCCTGGGTGGGGCTACCTGTGCTCCTAAGATCTCCAGACCTACAGGCCCAGGCTCATTTCTTTTTGGCCAGGAGCCCTTCTGGAGATCCCCAGGGGTCCCCAAACCTTTCCCCAGGACACACACTCTGTACATGTGGGGAGAGGTATCTCCTGAGGCTCAGACAGACAGGGCACAGTTTTGTCTGCAGTCTCCTTGGCACGCAGAGTGGGCGCCTAGCTCTGATTTCAACAGGTAATTTATCTTCAATCCGTTCCATATTTTGGAGGGAGTCCTAGTTTTTTCTTTTTTTCCTCTGGCACATGATACTGCTTACCTGGACCCAGGGGCTGGTCTCCTTTACCTTACCCGGAGACTGGTGAGATACATCTCTGTGATCTGTGGCCACTTGAAAGTGCAGGGTATGAAGCTGGTCAGCCGACAGAGCCTGGCCTACCCTTCTCCCCAACCATTAATGCAAACCATGGCTCTCCACCTTGGCTGCAAGGGAAAACTCTTGCAAATTTCTAAAAATACAGATTATAATCCTAGCAAGATGCTTTTACAACCTCCCAGGTCCTCTACCATCAGGCAGGGATGGAAACTCTAGGCCTGAGATGTTCACCGACCTCCATTAGCACAGGAACATGAGGTTCTCAGCCCGTCCAGCCTGGAGTGCAAATGGGACTACAGAGGTAAGCCTGACTCTCAGGTTTGTCCTGCCACCTCCTCATGGAGAACAAACATCCTTCCCGAGTACAGTTTCCCTCAGCTCTACCAGAGGCCCTCTACTACCAATGCACAGAGACTCATGCTGTGAAAGCCAGAGGAGATCTGGACAGAAATTGAGACCAGACAGCTGATGGTCATGGCGTGTGCCACACACTCATGTGTCAGATTCACAGAGCTTCCGATGGGGGCTTAGAACATAGCCTCCTGAATCTCCAGGTCCGGCAAGAAGAAGGTCCACCCTCAGATGGATGTCTCTACTCATCATCCACAGGGAAGCAGGCTTTGTGGAAAAGGGTGATTAGGGACTCTTCTCCCCCCAGGATCAGCCTGGAGTTGTCTGGCCCTAGCACAGACCAGCTGACCTGAGAAGAAGGAGAAATATGGCCTCAAAGGCCACAGAGATGACTCACCCCTAAGCAATGCTCATATAAAGGGTTTTACTAAATCCTTCCTTCTGAAGTAACCAGATGGGAGGGAATGTCCATAGGCATGGTGAGTGCAGAAGCCCGGAGACATGCCTGCATCCTGCCTTCCTTACCTCCTCCCCACCAGTGCCCTTATTCTGGGGCCCTGTGGTTTCCACACGTACCTCTACAGCTTTGCACAAGATGTTGTGGATTCCTGCCTGTCAAGGCCCTTTGTAGCCTCCTCCTCAGACAGGACTTCACTTGTCACTCCCTCTTGTGTATCTGTGTATGGCTGTCTGCTCCCCCTAATGCTGAGCTCTGAGATGGGGCTTGGTATTACTGAACTTTAGAGCCGTTTGGTTCCTGGAACCAGACTTCTCTCACAGAAGGTGGCCATGAGAGTGTGCCGGATTAAGGGACACACACAGCCTCCAGGGATCAGGGAAAGGTAATCGTCAGCAACAGAGGCAGACATCCAGTGTTATCACTGAGGTGAGCTCCTGTGGGGCTCTGCCTCCAGAAGACACCCAGTAAAGCAGGAGAAGCTTCTCAGTCCTGGTGGCACAGGCAGTGACCCTGACTGTGGCCACAAGGGGCAGAACCAGCAAGGTAACAGGCCTCCCCAAGTGTGGAACACACTATAAAGGTAGCCCCGCCAGAGCCCTCACACTGGCAACAGCTGCTCTTATCTTTCCCCAAAGCTGTCACCATCGCTTCTCGGCCTTTTGGTTAAATTAAGTGTAGTCTCTTCTTATCATTTTAATATCTGATACATCCTCTACCCAAGGACAACATATTAAATGGATTTTTGGAAGTAGAGCAAGGTTTAGTGGTGCATTCCTGTAATCCCAGTGGCTTAGGAGGCTGAGGCAGGAGGACCACAAGCTCAAAGCCAGCCTCAGCAACTTAACGAGGCCCTAAGTAACTTAACGAGACCTTGTCTCAAAATAAAAAAAATGAACTTGGGATGTGGCTCAGTGGTTAAGCACCTCTGGGTTCAATTCTGGTACCAAAGTGCCAGAGCTCTCCACTCCACTCCACTCACTCATCAGGAAGGTCCCTGTTGGAACTGGAAGCAGCTTCATCTATCTTTAAAATGTAAAATGATCACTTCCACTTCTCTGGTTCATTTACAGAAAATAGTAAAGGAAAATGAAGATGATGTCCATACATCCTAAGGCCACATAATGTCTATAAAGCAGAAATAAATAAAATTCTACTTAAGAAAAAATACCGAATCATTGTGAAATGTTATGTGGTTGGAGGTGCATTTTCTTTGATTTCCTTAGGCTTGCCTCCATCTACCAAAATTATATAATTTTTGCATCTGAGCATTTTAGATGATGGTATTACAGACTTTCCACCTGACTTCATCTGTTTCTTCTCCCTGTGTTCTCACAGTTCTGTGCCAAAAAAAACCAATATTTAAGCCCATTACTGTGCTTCTTTTGTCAGCCAGCATATTTCATAGGAACATCTAAGGGTCAGATATTGTCATATTTTATAGTCTGAATAACCAGAAAGCTGCTAAAAATTGAGACAGAAAACACCAGTGTTCTTAAGCACAAAGCTGCATGGAAGATTGCTGGGGGAGAGGAGTAGGTGTCTTTTGCTTACCTTCCTCTCTGCTCTCCTTTGTTCTCTTTTTACAAGCCTACCTTTTCCAAGTCTATCTTTCTCTCTATTCTCCTTTTCTTCTTATTCTCTACCACCAGCCCTCTTCTCTGTGACTGCTTTTCTTTCTGTCTTCTCCCTTTGCATCCCTTCTGTATACTGTTGTCCTTTAGAAATGAAACTTTATATTTGCATCAGTCAGCTTTTCATGACTGTGACAAAATGCCTGAGCTAATAAATTTAAAAGAGAGATATATTATTTTAGCTCAAGGTTTCAGAGGTTTCAGTCCATGGTCATTTGATCCTATTGTTTTTGAGCCAGTGGTGAGGCAGAAAATCATGGTAGGGACTACATGGTAGAAGAGGCTGCTCACTTCATGATGGCTGGGTGCAAAGAGAAAAAGAGTAAAAGAAAAAGAGCAAAAAGAAAAAGAGCAAAGGGGTACCAATATCCCCTTTAAGAGAATAGCCCCAATGATCTGATTTACTTCCACTAAGCCCCACCTCCTAAAAGTTTCCCCCCTCCTAATAGGACCATAGGCTGGGGACCAAGACTTTAAGATGTGGACCTTTGTGGAACACTTATACAAACCACAGCAGTACCCTAAGGGTTTTAGTTGTTATTTTTTTTGTGTGTGTGTGTGTTTGTTTTGCTGTTGTTGCTTTGTCCTATTTTGCCTTTTATACTCATTCTATTTTCTCTACAGTTTTGAAAGTTTTTACCTTGTATTTGAATTAACAGCTTAATTAGATGAACTTATGGATTATAATGTGATGCTTTGACTTATGTACACATTGTAAATAACATTGTAAATGTTCAAATCAGAGTAATTAGTGTATCCATCACCTCATAATTTATCATTTGTGTGTGTGTGTGAGTGTGTGTGTGTGTGTGTGTGTGTGGTGAGAACATTTAGAATCCCTTCTTCTATTATTTTGAACCATGCACTGCAATAGTGTTTAACTGTAGTCACCCTACTGAGCTGTAGTGTACTAGAATTGATTTCTCCTATTTGTCATTTTGTACCCATTGCCCAATTTTGCTCATAAATTTTAAAATGAATTCCCTGAGATGCCTGCCTGCAGTGTCTATCACGTTCACGTCCAACTCCCAGGAGCTGTCAGGTGACCATATTCCACCTTCATGGGACTCTCCATTCTAAGCCCAGGGTTTGAATCTTGTTTTCCCTCATCCAGCAGCTTCCTCACTTGCTCTGTGTCAAAGATAGGAAAGGGCTGTGTCAAGCAGCACTCTGTGGGATTGGTTCTAGGACCCTGTCATATACCAAAATTCATGGTTGCTCAAGTCCCTTATTTTATAAAATGTTGTAGTAGTTGCACATAATATCTGCTACCATGTCTTTAAAATCATCCCTGGAATGTGATATCTAATGCAATACACATGCCATGTGAATAGTTGTTATTCTGTAGTGTTTGGGGGACAAGGACAAGTAAAATAAGTGTCTATATGTTCAATATGAATGCAATTTTTAAAAATATTTTTCAATCTGTGGTTGGTTGTATCCATGCATCTGGAACCCGTGGGTAAACAGGGTTAACTATATGCTACAGAATATGCAAAAAGGAAGGAATAAACCAAAAATGAGGATTAGTAGTGTGCTGGTAAGCCAGGTCCCCATCACCCCAGAGAGTCTTGATGTGTAGCAACTGCTAATTTGTATGTTAAATACTCCCACCATGTCTGCCAATGATTGTGGTTTGCAAAACACTCAAATATTTAGTCATGAACTTTAGAGAACAGAGGGGAGGTGGCTTCTGTGTAGGATTCAGAAAAATAAAAATCCTGTGGGAGGATAAGAGGTATAGCCCATTCATTCTTAATCATGTGAGACACCCTAGATTCAATTTCTACCACCAAAAACAAACAAATAAAAGATTCTTGCCTGAAATGTGTCTAGGGGGCAGTCAGTTCAAGTTGGAGCAAGTGGACATAGATTTCCAAGATGGTTTCCAAGAGCAAACGGTAGAAAATGAAATATCCAGCAGAGCATTTTGAGGAAAAAGAAAAAAGAGCTTAGATGAAAAGAAACTCTAGGCAAAGTAAAAAGCCATTAATAATTTCAGGGGGAAAATGTAAAAGAAAACAGGTTTTGAACATGCACCATTTAGACTAAGAGTGGACAACATTTGCATGGGTGCAGAATGTTAAGATGGGTCAATGATTTAACTTAACATTGGACACAAAAGCACTGGGGCAGCAGGGCAGAGGCAACATGTGCCTGCAGGGGAGGCGGCAGGGAGGGTAGCCAAGTCCAAGTCCATTGTTGATCACAGGGAGTAACAATATCATCTGAACTTGGTAAACACAGAGGTATCCATAAAAGAAAAGTTTTTTGGAAATATGGACCATAACTATCTGATATTTCCCCTACCCTACCTCTTCTTTCCATATCCGTGTCTGTCTGTCTGTCTGTCTGTC